GGTTAACATCGACCAGACTACACAGCGCAACAACCCAGAAGACAGAAATCTTCATACTCATCGCCCTGATGATGGAGGCAGTATGACCTCTGAAACGTTGGTTAACATCAACCATACTACACAGCGCAACAACCCAGAAGACAGAAATCTTCATACTCACCGCTGTGAGAACCTCAAGTCTTACAGACATTAATATGTTTTAAGATCCATAGAAAACAATCAAACAATGACAAATTAGCAATATTCTTATGTTTGCCGATGCTGCTTACAAAGATACACGAAAAACAGGGCAACGGCAATGCAAAGAGTGTTCATTCATTCCTGGCTGTAACAGAGGGGTTCTAAGACAACACGCATTACGATGGTTCTGAACGCTGCTTCATACGCTACGTGTAAGATCAAGCATCCTAACTATTAATCTTATTACAACTCCAGAAGCACACAACAGACAGTTGCACTACCTGCTATTGGTTTAAGTACTAGGAGTTAGTTTGTTTCAACACATTCAATCAACTGTTGCTTTTCAGAACTGGATGCACGTATAATTTTTTTCTTATTCTTATAGAAATAAATAATTCTGATGGCCGTTCCCAGTAGCGGGTCAGCATGTAGATTCCATGCTCAAAATATCTGTAACTGATCCAAAAGTAGTTCAGATAATAAAAGTATAAATTATGATATATGGAGATTTATCTACCTCATTCTCACAGAAATAATTTCATAATAATTTCACACGGTCCTAGAAAAACTTTTTCAGTAAAATTAAGTCAAATATTTTCAAAAGTGTTACAAAATACCAACGACTCAGAATCTTATTTTGGATCGTCTTCTGGGTAATCTTGTAAGTTTTTAGGAGGAACATGTCACCTTGCACTGAAACTCCTTCAAAAAGCGTTAATGTGTGGAAAAAATAACATTACATTTGGTTAGAGTAACAGAGACTGCTGTCCCCAAGAAAGGGAGAATTAGTCTGTGAAAATAAATTGCACTTTATTAGTACATACACCATGCAAATATTCGGACAGAACACAGAACACGTGTGCAGGTTTGCCCTACCTCTCACAACTTCAGGAGGCAATTCGATTGGTTGATTTTCACGGATGATCATTTCTGGTTTTCTTAGCCGAGCTACAACGTACAGAAATATACCAAACCTATTTTCATACCAGGTAATACTGTAAAGACTGACAGAAATTAAACGACAAGAAACTGATACACATTTAAATATTTAAATAATTTATAAAACTAATTTCCAGTGAATAACAAACATGAATTAAATTCCAGTAACTAGTTAAGCATTAATTACACTAATTTTTACAACAGAACCCTTTAATGACCACCAAAATTTATAGTATTTGTCAAAATAAAACATGGAGATACAATAAAAAAATTTATAGAAACTACACTTTATATATTTTACAGTAAGATTTGATTTTTATATATTTTAAAAAATGTATAGGCTGTATTAATTATATATTCTGTGATACTGTCAGAGGAGGCTAAGGCCCTACGAAAGGGCTCTAGTGCCATGGAGAAGTAGTAGTTTACTGAACAATGTAACACTGTATCAAATGTAAAACTGTTCAGTCAAGTCAAATTGTAACTTCAATCCCCCACTGGTTCTGTTCGATACAAGAATTGTTTTCACTTTTATAAAAATAAATATGAAAAGAACATTAAATGTGTCACCATGGATAAAAAATCAATTTATTTTCCAATATTCAATAGAGGCACTTAAAGGTTTGTTCATCTCGACCGTCGCACAGAATCCAGCGGGAAACGCGCAAACTTACGTGGCTCAAAATCTTCATCCACGACGGCCTTGGGCTTGAACAGTTCCCGGAAATGAGGTTTGCAGTACAACTGACCCTCGTGACTGCTGTAGATATCAACGCTGCAACACAAAGTAGCTGTGTTAGAGGAGACTTAACGCACCGCGGTTTTTATCCACGGCCAGCGACAATCTCAGCACAAAGTCACTCGCAATTTTAACGCATTCGCTGCTGGGAATTCAAAAGCAAGCTGTAATTAAATGCCAGGGTTTAACACCGACGGGTGGGGAGCGGATCTGTCTAAAGATAAAAGTAATAGAATTTTAGGGTGGAGTACAATGCCTTTGTCACATAGAGGAGCTCCACAAAGAGCAAAGCATGTAGCAGCCTTCAGTGATTGAATGTGTCACTGTCTCCTGTAAAATGTAAAATGGTTTCTTTGTCTTTGGTGGAATACAGCGCAAAGCAGAAGATACAAGAATAAACCCTTCTGTAACATTTTTTAGTGTCTTGTATGTGGTAATTCAAAGAATAATGGTAAAGTACAGGCCACGCCACGTGTACAGGTGCTGCAAAAATCAAGAAAGCACTTTGGTTTCACCTTCGACATTCTGCCACTGGCGAACACATCTAAATTTTTCACTGTGTACCTTTTGCTTGTGGTGTAGGTTTTTCTCTTTCATGGCTGTAATTTTTATGCAGACCATAAAAAATAAGACCAAGAGATGAGCTGTGAAGTCAACACAACACCAACACACAAATGCAAAACTCTTTGTTATCTTTCTTAATATTCATTATATTTCTGATCTGTTATCATGTGAATTAAAACACATTTAAAACAAATGAATTGGCATAATACTTTAGTAATAAGTTTAAAAGAAAAGCTCAACAAAAATTAAGTAGGCAAATAGAAATTTCCAACAAAAATTTTAAAATACTGTACGTGCGACAGTTTCAGATTTATTACTACTTTTGTGACTACCTACATTTTTCAATAAAGGTGCTTGGCATGATGCATCACTGATAAAGTTTTATATCGTCACTCCTACGTCACAGTGACACTCACGTGAGTTGCTTGTTGCACTCCTTGCAGCGGAAGCAGTTCTTGTGCCAAACTGCGCGCTCGGCCTTAACTTGCTCCATTTGGAAAACCTGCTTTCCGCACGACTTGCAGTTGCTCGTCTGTTCAGACGCTGATTCTGCAGACTACAGAACACACAGCTCATATTAAATAGAACAGTACAAGGCAAAGGAAAAAATGAAACTATTTATTTACATTTAAATTTATTTATATAAATAAAACAGATCATAACATAAGTAAATGCATATACCTGCATTGTAAAATTTCAAAAAAATATTTGAAGTCCTCAAAAAAATATGTATACTATCTCATTTTTGTGGGTCTTGGATCTGTGCCAGTGGCACATTACAGATGTTTCATTATTTATGGAGTTCTTGTGTGTGTCTGTACTATGTTGCGTTCACGGTTCCATGTCTTTCTTGTTTTGGTACGAACACCTTCATCAATCAAATTGATTCCATTTTAAATAAAATGTCTGCTATCGAGATCCCTTCAGATAAGCATCGCAACGGTTATAAAGTCACCACTATGGCAATAATTCAGTTTTCTCACCTGGTTGAACTGCTTTTGAACTTTGGCAGCATCAACAGAACGGACATGCAGAACAGTCTTCTTGCTCAGCTGATCAAATTTCGAAAAACTTGATTTCTGTAATCATGAGAAATCGTGCGAAATTACGTCTGATCCCTGACACCAGACAGAAGAAGAAAAGTGTGGACTGGGGCTACCAGATAAAATTAAAACCTTACAACCTTTACAATGCTGATTACACCCACTAAACCACACCACCTAAAATTTACTGGAACACTAAGAAGTGTTCTCTAAGTGTTCAGGTAAGTCCACCGCTTTTATGAACAACACTTCATCTAAGAAACTAAAGTATTGAAGAGGCACTACCAGCGCAATGTCATCCAGTTCAAATCACTGCTGAGGCGCTCTTGACTAAATGTTACCTTCAGACAGAAAATTTTCAGTTCCCCAAATCTGACATTTAAGAGGTGACCTCAGTTGTGATACAATTTTTAGGAAGCATTTGAAGATGTCAATATTCCACTGCCCTCCAGATTTCACAAAATTCGTAAGCATCTGGGTGAATATGACAACAACAAAATACACACACCCACACACGTTGATCGGTCATACTTCATAAAATATGCCAAATTTTAATTAAGATGTGAAGATAAAATTTCAAATTTCCATCACAACAAGGTAAAATGAAGCATTTATCAAAATTAAAAATTTCTATATATTTTGAACTATCCTTAAGATAATGCCCTCCTTAAGAGTTCCACTTCACCCCTCCACCATACAGTTTACACATATCATCATATTACGATACTTCCTACAATACACAGACTAATATTAAAATGTAATAAGAAATGACACAATTGCTGATTAAATAAATATTACGAACAATAAAAATAAGATGAGGAAGGAAAAAAAGAAATTAAACCATATTTAAATGTTTTCGAATGTCACCGCAGAAACTTTATTAAAAGATGTTGATGTTGAAGTCTTTAAGAAGAGTCAGGAGTCAAAGGCAGTAAACTATAGCAGCGCATTCTGAAGAGTTTAACTGGGCAGTTCTCACCTGGTGCCGTTTGCTTTCGGAGACAGATTCGGCAGGCGAGTCGGCCAAGTTGCAGAAACTCGCTCTCTTTGTCCATGCATCAAGCCACATGCAAATATTGGGACAGGCAGAGTAAAAATAACAAATTAAAACTCTCTCACAAAACAAACACGAATATCCCATTCACACAGCTTTAGAACAAGAATTTTCATCGCATTATGGTCACAGCGTTTATTTCTTCCTTCTGGTTTCACAAGTTAACACTTTTATGCAAGATACAAGTGGATGAATATGACATTCGAAATGAGGAATGTAAGTATATTTCTATGATGAAAGAAGCGATTCAAACTTTCAACAGTAAACTGTGACAATACAATTTTAGTTTCAGCACGCAGATGGCAATCCCCCTTCTATAAACGAGCAATTTATTTAATTTCTGGAATTAGCCCTCTCCTGGTAATCACACAGGAAGCCAGCACATGGCAAGAGCCTTAAATTAAGGGGATTGTGGTAATGAAAAGTGATGACCGACACACAAAACTAGATGTGGCTGAAACACTGAATTATATGATATATTTGGCCTCAGACCACGAAGCCACTGTTAAATACCTGTAGCGATTAACATCAGTTAACGGCGGCTCTTTACAGAGCTGTGAAAAACAGTGATTTCTGAATTAAAATCTAAGTTATAATTAACTAGAGCCCCACCCAATGGTTGCGAGGGTTGTTGACATCTTGTTCTGCACGTTTACCAAAATGCTGCCAACTACCTGCAACGCAACACGGTGTCACAATCAAGAAGACCACAAGAGGATCTATAAGAATTTACAAATTTTAGAAAACTTTAAAATTACATCGCCAAGATATACAACAGCGGAAGCTCACTTTTGTCTATATAATTTTTGTGTCTTAAACCAAAACTCACAGTTCTACTACTGTAATAATTTTTTCTGCATCATATTCTTTAAAAACTTAGTAAGCATCACGCAGCGCGTTGTATCTCATTCAGAACAGAACAACAAATGACTTAGAGAAAATGCCAATGACACAGTTTTTCAGGTCATAATCAAAAACTAAAATCATGCTCTCAAAATGTTACGCAGTTACAAGATTTACCAAAGTTTAATGTACATGGAAGAATAAAGAGTGTACAGACAGAGCAAAAAGTAATTAGCTTCTCCACTCATCAGTGCGTGCAAAAGAATGGCTAGTGAGCAGAGAGCTGTTGTGTGCTGCATGCGGACTAGCCGACCGTACAGCAAAGTCCTGTTGTTGGACAAGCGATACTGAATGGTGAATTTAACACATCTGTTCACCCCTGGAGACACCAGCTTCTCTCCTGTATATTACATTCCTAATCCAACAAAGATACTCGACAACAACACTCATCAGTAGCCGCAGCCTACGAGTATCCTCATTTCCCAAACTTCTGCCCAAAGTGTTTACAATAATCAGATCTGATCCTTGAACTTCCAAATGCAAAGTCTGCTTGCAATACAAAAGTCCTGTGTCTTCACTGTTCTCAAATGTTGAAGTGTTCACAAAGAAGGACCGGAGGTTACGCAGTCTGCTATAGCCCACTAAAATTATCCCAACTTAAAATTCAACAAATCGCTAAAACATGCCAGGTTACCAACATTCCAGATTTTTTCTACAGACAAAAATGTTACAACACATCAGGCTCACAGTCAAGTGTTTCCATCTTGAGGTGTCTTAACACCATTAACATCATAAAGTTTTATAAAGCAGGTGCCAGTATGTAGGATTTCAGGTTTTGACGGCAGTGAGTCCGAAGACGCTTGTCTTCTGGGTTGTTGTGCTATATAGTCTAGTAGAAGTTTACTGACATTTCAGAGGTCCTTGCTGCCTCCATCATCAGGGCGATGGAGGCAGCAAGGACCTTGATAAATTTCCACCGGACTACACGGCGCAACAACCCAGAATACAGCCATCTTCAGGTGGTAATAATTTCACTACTGAAGATATTCAGTGGTCATGAACGTAACACATGCGTCATACAGGTATTACTTACGAGAGCCCTGACGGAGACGCCTGTATGAACGGGCTCCTTGTTGGAGTCCATGCTGCTGCAGTTGCTGTTAGTTTGAAAGGAACCTGACATGCGGTGTAAGTCGCCCAGAGAGCGAGCTTTCTACATACAGATCCAGACAGAATATAAGTGAAGTTCATGCATTAGTATAACCATTAAAATACAAGAGAGTTAATCAATTAAAAGAAATACACTGTAAACTAATGCATAGAATATTAAAACACTTATGGTACGTCAATTCTAATTCGTAATAAAATACTGAAATATTCCTCTTCCTGGACCAGGGCTACCATGTTGGCAAAACTGCTAAGTACCAACACACCACTACACAAATTGGATATTGTACCATGCATACTGAACCACCTGTCAACTTTTTACTAATGTAGTGACACCTAAAATTCAATGAAAAGTGCCTTAAATTTTTAAAAAATTCCAATTTCCGCTGTAATAATTGCCTTTCGAGAACATACACACTGAATCTGCATTACTTTATCACGTATGTGCTTCAGTGTAGGTGAATTTCAAAATTTTCCAATACAGTGGGGCTCTGTAACAGCTACGTATCATCACAAACCAATTCTTTCTCTTAAAATGTTTCTATTTTCCAACAAAAATGTTACAAAACTCTCAAAATTAAAATGTTAACCTTTACATATTCAACGCAGGTTCATCGTAATATGAAGCCTTCAGTAGCAGGATTAATCGACGAGGGAGGAGTCACAAGCTTCTACATGTCGGAACGGAGATTAAATGAAGAAAGTGCTCCGTGCCAAAACATCCACGTGAAACTGTTATGTATGCACCACTAGACGCAGATTAATTAATAAATGACCCAAATAATATTACTTTATAGAATATCAGAACATTGAATGATGTATGAAGTAATGAACAGGTCTAAAGAAATAAGCAAAGCCAGCGACTATGTTTTGAAGAACGAGCTTCGTATGAGGAATGTACTGTTGGCAAAGTACCAACTGTATGACCTGTGGGTGGACAAACTTCATTTTTCAGAGCAATTTCAGGAACACTTTGGTTATTTAAACAGATTCCAGACATAAATTAAAAGCACTGGATTATCTGGAAAGAATGCAAGATAAGACATGGTGACGATAATGATAGTGACGTGGATTTTGTTACCAAGTACACTCATCAGTGTACACCTTCAGCCCTGAAGATGGTAACAGTATGTTTCTCTGAAATGTCGGCACCTGCCAACAAGCATACGCTGCCAAAATCCAGAGGAAAAACATGAATAAAGATGAATAATTGTCGATTGTGCCAGGAACATGCATTTCTCTGCCCGTGGCAGAATTTTCAACATCACAGTCCCGTATCATTAAAATATTACAGTATTGACACGATTTAAAACCTGGCGTCAATTTAACAGTGGATTATTTAGCAATGCTGTCAGTAGCTCATATGTTCAGCACTGAATGATAAAATTAATACTGAATTATGAATTGCAAAGAATGTGGAAGGACACGGCCATTGCCAAATTTATGAAACAATCTCAGAATATGCATGGAGGAGGGACTTTGGAAAACCTGTTAGGACAGCTGATCCCAAAACTTCCAACATACGAAGTGGGAGAGTACCGATCACTAACATTTTATCCTACGTAATTTTAAATGAGATAACCGACTTACTGGGCCCCTACACAGATGTTCCAGAAAAGGATTGACAGTAAAAGATACCAAAAGCAAACATTCAGCTAACTATAAATGACTGCCGAGAGATGGCTGGATACATTACGCAACATACAGAAAATTCAGCACAGTTTTTGCGTCTCGTCGATTGATTCGCGCAGTTTGCAGCGCGGACATAAACTCACCGAATCCAAGCTGAAGGGAGCAGAATCCTCATCCCTTACCTCCGCATCCTCTTTGTCACAGAGAGTACTCAGGTCACCAAAGCTTCGTCTCTGTTAGGATTAGTTACATCTAATGTTAGTCACTTCGTACACATCAAATAACACACACAAAGCCATTTTCTCACAGTAATGAGGCATGTTTACAGTGTGAGAGACCCAGGTGTCTAAGGATCCTTTCACAAAGCATGTAGGAGAATGGGGGCAAAGCTCCACACATTGATCAGGCGGTACAAGCTTCAAAGGAAAGCATTAGGATTTGTACTGCAGCGGTGACAGCGTCCAGCGAACACAGGAACGACTGGAATGCAAGGTGACAAAATAATTCTCAATGCTTCTGTATATCAAATCCATGGACCAGAATTTTCCTTGAAAAGGAATATCACTAAACTAATCAAGAAATTTCTTGTTCTATGGAAACTGGAAGTTCAGTATTGTGTTCAAAAGAACACGTCTTCATTTGCTGAATCCAGTCCACACTCACAAGATTTCATCAAAACCATTTTAATATTATCCTCTTCTCTATGACAATGTCTCACAAGTGGTTTTTCTCTCAAGGTTTAACAACCAAAACTCTGTAAACACAATCCTCTGAAATACACGTGACATTTCCAAAATTCTGAGTGTCACATCCCCAGAGTCAGTGATCGTCAGTAAAGTGCTTCATTACAACATCCAATGAATTGTTAAGTAATCGGTGTGATGACATTAAATCTATCATACAATTTTAAAAATGCATTCAATAATTCCATTAATCTTTTTGCAAACAATTTCTAAATGGTAGGTGATAACAACATACATTCATATTCACTCGATAAAGAGTACAGTCAAGTACAAATCACCACACACTTCATTATTTTAAAATGCACGAACTGCAATACATAATTTTATTTTAAAATTATTTTTTTGTATACGTGAAACATCTACCACCACCAACTTACACTTCAGTCTACCTTCCTAGAGGGCAGGCCGAAGACCACGTAAATTTATTTCATGGTTTTCCACGCTCCCTTCAGATGACAAATGCTGGGATTATCTCAAAATAGCCCATGAAAGTATAATTCTAAATTCGGCATTCACAGTCTTCTGATTTCACCTACACAGCTCTCGTCTTGCTGTCAAATAAGCCAATCAAAAGAATTAAAGTAACATCTACATGACGGATTCATTGCCTCATACGCATCCAACAGCAGATCCAGTTAAACACAGAGGTCCACCATAAAGAGAACAGTTTGCATTAATAATTAACGAGTTTAATCAGGAAGGTCATTTAATCTGGTCCTAGGCCCACAGATGGCGTGCTACATTCACAGGATGTGGATACACTCTGGGAGAATTACGAAAATTTATTTTATCAACCGAGGCCATGCACCGACATATTTAAACCCTCAGTAACCTCTCTTATGTGATATATATATAATTTACAAACTAACTACAAATTTTTAAGTCTGAAAAATCATTTAAAATTATCCACTGTCAGGACTTTTTCCATCGTCTGTTCTTTAAAATCACGACGTTTCGGAGGCTGGTCCTGTCTCCGTCTTCAGGTGAGAGGTACCTACTCTGTTGGTCTGTTGGGCCCCTTAGATAGATTTTAAAGAACAGACGATGGAAAAAGTCCTGACAGTGGATAATTTTAAATGTAAACTACCGTCGTCGAAACCCTTTAGAATTGAATTGAAAAATCATACTCTGAACACACATATTTCAGATA